AGAAAGGCCGGGCCTTTCCTCTCGGGCCCCACGTTGGGCCTCAGGATGTTACGGAGAGATTTTATAGGAGCGTAACGCACACGCGGCACCGTATACGCGCCGCTCGGCGTCATAATGATTATAATTGCCCTCGCTATCTTTAATGTCCTGGAAGCGGGTAATGGTAGCAGCTATTATGGCCGCTCGTATAACCCGGCCGCACTCGATCTCGATATTTAAGATTCGGCCGTTTCCACCGGATACCATCTTACGCTTATCGCCGACGAAACGAGCGTGCTCCGACTTTTCCTTCTCGAAGCTCCGCGTCTTCATTCGTTCAGCTTACGCGCCTATTTTTGTTTTCATTCCGAGAAAGATATTTCGCCGCTGATTAATCAAGACGGATTAAGACAAGTGTTCGCCCTCGGTAGAGATTAATCGAAAACTTGTTTATGAAGCCTTGTTCGATAAAGAGAAAACGCCTTGAAATTGTTGTAAATCTTACACGCGTTCCCGATTTAAGCGAGGGAGAGAGTAGATGGTCCTTCACACACGACACGTACACACGTGGAGAGTCAAGTGTTTTGTGGGCTTTCTTTTTTTTTTTTTTTTGTATTTTGTATAAAAGGATAATTTCACTTGCGTCACTTAACGATGGAGCGTTTAAAAATGTTTTGCTTTTATTTATCAACATCGAATTCTCTCTTTTACATATTTATGCGCTCGAAACTTTACGTTCGCGAAAGATTTTTATAAGATAAAGTCCTCTGTTGTCGGAATTGCATCATACTATACACTTTGCGCTTTAACGACCTCTCGAATCCCTCAAAGTACCGTCAAAAGTAAGTATACTTCGTCGAAGAGACCGGGCGATAAAATTTTTATCTCACTTCGCACATTTGTGTCGTAATTCAAGCGAACCTGTTGCGGGATCGGGCGAATTAAAACGTATCGAGGAATGATTTAATAATAATTCCGGCCGCTTCTCACAAAGGGACCCAAAGGACGCAGATTAGTCTATAAATTAGTCGTTCCGCCCTTCGTCCCTGTATGTACCCTTTAATATGCTGCAATGTGTACACCGGCATAATTTCTCCTTTTTATATCATTTTTATAACTCTCAGGCCAACGATAAAAGTTGTCGGGTTACGAGCCCAATTAAGTCGATATGCAACGAAAATGTCAGCTTTATTTTTATTAAATACCGTTATTATAGTATTTCTTTTAACGTTAGATTTCAGATAGGATAGTCGCACGAGCCACAATTTTTCTCCTACCTTCGATTTCAATTTAATAGCTATTTTAAGTAGCTTTTATCAATTATTTAATTTCTTTTAATTATAATTTAATTGATCAAAAGTTTCTCTTTTAAACTGCTCAGTGAAAACTTTATATTTTTTTTTATCTACTTAAGATATAAAGTAGAATCATAATTACTGTATAAAAATTAAATTTATGTTTATAAATGAAAAATGAGATCGAAAGTAGGAGTAGAAAAATTCGTCTCGAGTTGATAAAGTAAATTATAAATTTAGATTTGCGAATAAGGTTCGCGTCCCTGATGCCGCCGGAGTCAACGTTCGAACCAATAACGTGTTATCACGGCAGCGTGACGAAGGTCATCGTGTGCCTTCGCACGAAGATGTCATTTCTTCATGGTCGTGTCGGGTTGTTATCCGACGTCTCGATCTCTCCCGAGAGCGCGACGAGAAAAAAAAGTCGGCTGATTACGTAAGGCTGCGCCCGCTTCCGTTTCGCGCGCCGAGACGCACCCTTAAAAAAGGTTTACGGCCGGATGTCGAACCCTCGTGCGCGCAGGTTCGCGGGGCGGATGCAACGTGACGCATTATATCTCACCCGCGCGTAGTTTTTCCAGGTACGGACCCAATTATGTAATTAAGATAATAAGTGTGTGCGTGTGTCTGTGTGTGTGTGTGTGTGTAGGTCCAGGTTTTCTTCTCGGCGAGACCCACGTATGGAAATTCTACATTATCATTATCCGTTTCAGGGGAGCGTGAGGCATACAAGCATTATAAAGTATCGTACACGTACATTGCGAAAGGGGTTTTCGTCCTCGATAACGATTTACGAGATGCGATATGAAAATTATTATTTTTTTTTTTTTTTTTTTTTTTTTTTAGATGTTTTCTCTGATTTATCGCGTGAAACCCGGCCAAGATTCGAGGCAACTCGTGTACTGATTTACAATTTTATTGTATCTTTTGCCAACTGCACGCGGGGTTACGCGATACATTGCGAACAAAGCTATCGGTATTCCTTATCAGGCGGATGAAAGCGAGGCATCTCGATTTCTGACACGACGGAAAAAGTCGATAATCGTTGCTCGTTAAACTAGCGATGCGCGTACTCCAGGAGAGAGAGAGAAAGCTCTTCTTACTCGTCACCTCTCGCGTCTCGAGGTCGTAAAAATTCGTCGCGCGAAGAGACCGGAACGAGGAAGCTTAGAAATCGACTCGACCATCTTCACCGTTCGAGGAGTGCGATTAATTCGTGACTAGCTGAATGTCTTACTCTCTCTGGTGCTTATATGAATATTTAATGTACTCTTCGATGAAATTCGAAATCGAAACTTTGCATTAGCCATCACTCATCGCAGCTCCTCAACTATTGAAGTAAAATCGGCAATATATTTCTTCAAGTCATTCAAGTCCGGTTTAGACGACCTGTATAACTCGCGATAAAATTCTCGACGGAATTTGAGAAAATTCCGTTGAAAAAAACTTGGTCCCGGAGGATAGATCGTTGAAGACGGGAGAATCGACGATCCGCTGGGAGGATAAAAGGAACGATAAAAATGTTGAAGGCGAGTGTATACACCCTGTATGTACACATATAATCACGGCACCTTCGAGTCCGTTAGCGTTACTAAGCGCGGGTACATCGATCATCGGCAAAGTTGGCTCTGGCCGGGACGAAAGTCGTCCGATCAACCGACGGTCGTATCAGGAATTATTATTCACCGGCCGTCAGTGGATGAGAGAAGGAGAGGGCGGGGCCCGTGGCGCATGCATCATCGAGAGCAAATTCCGTTGCCCCGTCTTTATTTTACCACGGTAGTGAGGTACAACACGCGGGCGGACATGCAGGAAAGACGAGCGAGTGGAGGAGAGATGGATAGACGGATAGAAAGAGAGAAGCTCTTCTCTTCCCCTGAGCCTCACGTAGCTGCCGTCAGTCCGCTTAACTGTAGATCAATCAATATACCTCGCTTGAACCCTCTCTCGGTTCCCCATCTCCCTCTTGCCTTTTACTTCGTCCTCTCCCTCCGGGGCTCTGCCCCTAACGAGCTCATCGCTCGTGTAGGCAAAGAAAAAACACGAGAAAGTGGTACAAAATGGCCCTTGAGAAATGCTGTCCGTCCATCCGTTCGTTTCTTCGTTCCTGCGATCTCTCGCTCATTCCTTCATTGCTTCATCTCGTCAAGGGTGTAATGGGTGAGATCGTCGTGATCTCTCTTTCTCTGTCTTTCATTGATTAACGTCGATTAACAATCCCGCTGCACGTGGTGTTGATCGCCAAGCACCTGCCATCGATGAGAAACCTCTACACGCTCGTGTGTAACGTCGTGCGTGCGTGCATGCGTGCGTATATTCTACATATTTCGTTTTGTCGCCGTACATCTCGTGCACATTTTTTCCCCGTGACAGGCGTTGACGTTTACGTCTTCACACGCGGCCGCTGCCGCGTATTTTAACGTATTACTTTCTTTCCAGTTCGCGAACCGCGTTTCGACCGAACGAGCCTCGCAGCGATATCTGCCTTAATTACATCATCGCTAACGAAACGCGAAGGTTATCAATTAGACGTTAGATTCTCGGCTCGAATGCGGGATGTTAATTAGCTTGTACCCTTTATTTCGAACGGATATACTTTATTATTAGGAAAATTGTGTCTCATCCACACAGAGGGATTTCTCGTAGAATTTAACCTGAATGGTAAATGGAAGAATTTGAAGAGTTTCTCTGAGTTTACACCACTATAGAAAATATGAATATCTAATTTATTATATGTACATAGCAAGATTTACCACGTACATTTTTTATTGCGATACATATTAATCAGGATTTTCAGGGTAATATACTCGCAGTCATCGAAATTACCTTTCCTCTTATTGTTACTTCAATAAGTGCGCTAGGCGGAAAACTAGAATAGGATGAATTCGCTGCGCGAGGCAGCTAATTAATTATCATTCACCCTTGGGTTAAAGACAGCGTGTGTTGCGAAACAGCGCGCGATTAGTCGAATGAAATTTATCGTCGCGAGTCGAAGGCGAGTCGAGAGTTGAATCGCGAAGAGTAAAGAGGAAACCACGGTATTGCTTCGTGTCTAATGAACGTTTAAGGGATGTGCGGAGAAAAAGAGACTGCCGGGAGAGATAGACTAAGAAAGAGGAGGAGGGAGAGCGAGCGAGGGTGGATGGGACTCGTATTATAAAAGCAATTAGGAGGTCTCAGATTAGATATAGCACATCGTACATAACAAATATGATAATACGGGCCGCTAGCCCGAAGGGGGTTTGGCTTTCGTACGGGTTTCTCGGCGAGGGTTTCGGGTTATGAGGCAGGTTAAACGGAATCATTAATAATCGGAGCTAACTAATCTGCCTGTCGCTATGAGCACACTTGTTTCACTCCTGTTTTTATTATTGCGCCGCGAGGTAACGTTTTATTTCTCCCGATCGGAAATGAGAAAAGTATCGCGCACGTTTTTACGATAAGGTCGCACGCGACACGTATAAAAAATCTTGTGTGATTGCTATGATTATTTTTTTATCTCTAATGTATGAGGGGTATAATGCAATTTAATTACAATGTGTCACTTGAATGGACAGATGCATACATTGTCGTATACGCAGAATGTCGCCTCGCTGTCATCGCATATTTAATTTCTGCGCGAATGACACACATGGCGAAACACTCTGTTTATATCGAGACAATACAGTGTAAGTCTTGCGAATTAAGACCCAAGTCATTTATTTCGACTTTTTCTTTCTGTTTCAGCTCTACGAACTTGACGACAATCCTGAGCGAAAGGAATTTCTTGACGAACTGTTCACCTTTATGCAACAAAGAGGTAAGGATTATTATAATTACAAATTATCATCCTGATCGATCGATCGAGTGCGAAAATAACGCAACATCTGTCGATGATTTCTCAACGAGGGAGCGTCGTTAATGCGCGAGTTTATATTACAAATATTGATCATTCTCCTATGGCGTCTTCTCAAGGACGGCACGTTCACTAATCAGAATTTTCTCCGCCCACTAGATTCTCTCGATATTTGCTAATCGTCAAAAATCCGGCACACTCTTTCTCTCTTTTTCTATATAGATATTCTAATTTATATTCGACTCCCGTCATCACTGTTTTCGCAGCCTCTCTCTTTGGAAAACTAATACACCATTCGAGCGATCGTATAAATCGAATTCAACTCTATTCTCTATACTTTGCAAATTTGTTTGGATTGAAAGCTGTCGACCGTTGAGAGAGATACACACGTGTGACTGTCCCAGACCCGCATCTCGCGTTTCCTGCACACGTGGATTTTCGTAGCCGGCCGCGCGTCGTAAACGTCCACGTGGTTAAAAGGTTCGATAACACGTTGCATCTGCTCCGGCACCGAAGCACCGAAATTAGAATCGAGCAACGAGCCGGAACAACCGACACCGCCCGTGAAATCGCACGTTTTCTCACGCGCGCCTGATGATAGCGTTATTGTTACTTTCCCGAGCAGAGTTTCGATAAATCCGTAATTGGCATAAAAAATCTTCCCTTGTTTCTCGGAGCTATTTTAGCGTAAAATTTTTTTTTTTTTTTTTTTTTTTTTTTAGTAAGGTTCAGAAAGAGGATTGATCCGCGGCGAATCGCGGCCTCCGAAGCGTTAGACGGTGAACCGGAAACGTCGGACTCTAATTATAAACATGGCGACTTCTCGTCCATCAATCAAGCTCGCTAGTGATGCGTCAGTGCTTCTGTTCTTTTCGCTCTTTTTCTCTTCATCTCTCTCTCCCTCTCTTCGTTTCTCTACGAAGCTTGTGGCGCAACTTTGAGTCCGAGACAGTGCTATTATTATGCCTACCTCCCTAGCAATAATTAGAATCGATTGGATCAACATATCCGTTTGTCTCCTTCCTTTCATCGCGCGTTAGTATTTTACAAACGATAAAGACGTTAAACGATCATCGAAGTGTTCCAAGTGATAACGCATGAGAATTATTCGATCTCGCGTTACCAGTTTGAAAAATTGGCAAATGAAAAATTCTGACGTCGAAAAAAAAGAGAAGGCAAAAATGAAGGGGAAAAGGAATGCGAGAAATGAACGAGGAATATGACGTATCACACGATGATGCGCGACCGTAGAGCCAAGCGTCGTTTGTTTCGCGGGTTATTATACTTCGTGAATGGTAATAACGAGTCGGGGAGACCATAAATCCTCGAGACGATCAATGCCGATTGATCTTTCGATTCGCTCGTAACGCGGCTCGATTAAAATCGCGCGCGCGCGCGCTGCTAAGGCAGAAGTAAAAAGGAAAAAAAAAAGAAGCGAGATCGAACGAGCGCGCGTATCTCGATGTAAAAGCTCTCGCGGGTAAAAGCTTGAAATATATACGAACCGACGTATAGGGAGAGCCCGATCGTCGGGGCCCTCCTGCGGGGGCTGCGTTATTGTGCCCCACGCACGCAATAATTCAACACTAACGTAACGCATAACACCTTACTATGTCCGTGGATATAAAAGACCATTCATCATATTCGGGTATATTAGTCCAGCCACCACCAATTTGTGTTTGCTATCATCGCTCTCGCCCCGACTCTATATAGGCGCGCTCGGCTCTTTTTAGATAGATATACAAACGCACGGACAAATTATCGCGGTTAGTCGATTATCGACTTTGCTGGTGGTGGGTCGTTTCGCGTTTTATTGTTACGTATGATACTTGTCGCGAAAAAGAAAAATGACGCTTCCCTGTGTTACGTTATATACATGTATCAGTCATATATCGAAATATATTTCGCGGAATCGCCACATTGATTGAATCTCATATGAATTCATTATTTTATACACGTTTGATTGTAACATAAGTGTGAGTTTATCGTCCGACGGAGAATAAAACGGAATGCTTATTTAAATGAATACGGCATTTGACAACAACAAAGACAAATGGGTTTCTCTACAACGTGTCATTCTCTGTTCTAAAAAAAAAGTGTATAAATAAGTCGATGCATTCCAAGCAAACATTTGCAATATTCCGTTTTGTTGTAACTTTCGCCTATAATGTTATATAGCGCAACATATAAATACATATTGTGTTAGAAATAATTATCTCCCTATCATACAATGGAACACAACCTAAGCCCTAAACTATTCTCGTAAATTTAAGCTACTTTCATATAATTTTATTATTCCAATAAACCATGAACCGTGGTCGATAATTATTATATATTGTCCCTATTATACATACATATAATATAAAATACATAATAGGAATAATTACGTATATAATAATATTTATCGATAATTATATCCTATACTGCTTATCGGAATAATAAAGCTATATGGAAGTCGTTTAACTTTACGAGTTAATAGTTTAGATTGCGTTCTAATTCTAGTAAGATAATTATTTCCGATACAACGATACGAGCATACGCATAATATTACATCGAGGAATAAACGAGCCTATAAAGAGCATAAAGTCCCTGCACGGAATTTTATATTAGCTTCGTGTTTGCTTTGCGCTTCGTACTCGGACGTCCGCGCGGGAACCGCTCTTTTTCGGGGAACTTATCTTTTAATGACCTTTAAATCCGGCGCCGTTAATAGATATTACCAAGGCCATTTTGCAACAAAGTGTCCGTCCCGGCTTCGAACCCGCCGCGACGAAGGTATTCGTATATCAAAAGCGCCGACGAGGCACGCGGAACGCACAAATTCGCGCAAGCGGAACATAACTTTGGCCGATAACTTTGCCGTCCAAGAGCGCCGAGAACCGGTTCGCGAAAGTCAACACGTAACCTTCCGCGCGATCCAGAAAATTCCGAGGGGTTCGATCTTGCGAGCGAAAAGGGGTGAACAAGAGCGCGAACTTAATTAGATGAGTTTTGGAAAATTATACTTGCTCCGAAAATATATCTCTTCTTCCGGCAGAGAGTCTATAATATATGCGCGGAATTCACATCACAAACTAGACTTCGCGAGAGCGTTTCTTTATTTATCGCGCATACATTGCTTAGCATCGCTCGAAAGAAAGGGAGAAGGAGAAAGACACCGACCCGTTATAAATCCCAACCCATTTAATATGTAAATTCTGCCACCTCCGACACAGCCCGAGGTCTGCACTTACTTCCTTTTTTTTTTTCTCTCTTTCCCCACCAACACGAACGAGTTTCAATCGCCGATGTAATTCATACTGCGACTGCACGAGTAATGCCATTCCTCGTCGAGTACGTTATTATCTTTATTTCCCACTCTGTTCATCTTCTCGGTCCTCTTCGCACATATATAGACAATATAACATATAATTATATAAAATCATAAATAATAAATGAAAGGATAATGAGAGAAATTTACTTCGAATATATTTTTGAGGGTAGAAAAATTAAGAGGGTGGAAAAAATGAAGATTAAGAGAGGAGCGAGAGAAGGCTGCTTTTTTTCTTTTTGTCACGACGACTTGCTGCGAAAAATGACGTTAGATCGGCGAAAGGATGCTTTCGCGCGCAAAGCGAATTGATTGTCGCCGAGTGTAAAAGTGCGTCGCGTCTAAAGTCGTCGCGTCGCTCATATACGGCCGGTTACGGAGGGGAAAAAAATCGTCTTTTTACTCGCGCGAGTAACGCATTAACGCGGAGAACACGTGTTCGGCACGAACACTTCTCGCTACACACTTGTGAACACGCACCGCGTACGTGACGTCTGCATATACACAAGATATTACATTAGGTTTTCATAGACGCGCGCGCTCTCTCGTCCTCCCATTTTTTCCTCCTTATCGAAGGAACGTAGAATTGTTTCTCCATTTCATTCGTGATCGATTATTTCGCGAGGAAATCCCGAGAAATGTAGGTAGCGACCCTAACAGCACAAATACACAGAGGGAATTTTCTCTCTATTTACCTTGAAAATCATGAGAATCATGGGACAATATACGATGTTGGAAGAATTTTATAAGAGTTTCTCCGATTAAATATTATTATTACAATACGAAATATTAATATGTATAGCACAATAAAATATAAAATATGTTCGATTAATTTTGTACATATTGTAAAATTTATGCATTACTATAATTTTCAAAGTAAATTCTAACAATAAGAGAAAATTCTCCGTGTGTTCAAAGGCATCCAAAGGACGTTTAGATGTTTTCTGGATATCCTTCAAACGTTAAACACACCCCTTTAATAATTTATCTCGCGAAAACGAAGTCCTGTCTTCGAATACACGGAGAGAATTTTCTCTTATTGTTAGAATTTACCCTGAAAATCATGGTAATGCATAAATTTTACTATATATACCAAATTAATCGAACATATTTTATATCTTATTGCGGTAGATATTAATATTTTCGTCCGAAAAACGTTTTCGAATACACGGAGAATTTTCTCTCAGAGTTTACCTTGAAAATTTAAAGGGGTGCCTAGCGTGACATTGAGCAGCCGGCCCAATACATGTGTAAGTATGTCCTAAGCAAAATCCGTGGCTTAACTACGATATCGTGCCGAGCAGCCGTTACTTTTAGTACTCTTTAGAACATCCAATCATTTTTGCTCATACAGAGCTCCCTTGTTACCTTATATATGTACAAGAGATTCCATAGCGCGGCTGGAAAATACATTTCCATTGTGCAAGGGAATAAAAAAAAAGAGACGAATCGCTCGCTGACACACGATTCGCTCTCTCTCCCTTCACACTCCTATTTCCTTATTATTCGATATTTTGTACCGGCGGCACGTTCGTACGCCGTTACTTAGTAACTGCTCGCCGTCACGACGCATTGCAATTAGTTTGAATGTTTGACTTTGCCTCGCAACAGCGAAAGCACAACGCGTCGTGCGAAAATAGTTTCCCCTCTTCGA